AAAAAAAAAAGAGAGAGAGATGAAAGTATGACTGAGGGGGGAAAAATGGACACATATGTAATACCCTTTGTAATAAAAAAAAAAAAAAGTATGACTGAAATTTAAAATTAAAAATCACCTGAATTCCATCATCCTGATATAATCGCTACCACCATTTTGATAATAATTCAAATTCACGCTCTCTGCACACTCACACACACATACTTTACATATGGAATATCATAAATGTTTATAAATTGAAATAACTTTTTAGTATAATTTTTTCTCATTTTCCTCCCTCATCTCCTCCTCTCTTAAATAAGCAATGCCAACAACCAAATGTGCCTCCTTTCATATCTTTTTCTTGGCTCTTTACATCAAATGCAAATATACATGCACACATAGCTGTACACATATTAGTGAGAGAGGGAGAGTCATTATTTAGGTAGAATCTTACTGTAGGTGCTTCCCTACATCTTGCTTTTCTTATTTTACAGTGGAAATCCCTTCAAGTAAACTGGCATGCCAGTTCATTTTGTTTAAATGTATCCGTGCAATCCCCTATACATAGGTATTCTCTTGTTTTCCTGAGCCAGAACTAACCAGCTAAGGCACTTTCAGATCCCTGACCCTCAGTAACAGTGTGAAATAATAAATGCTTATTGTTTTCTAATTGCATTGTTTTAGGGTAATTTGTTACAGAGCAACAGATGACTAAATACAGCATCCAAAACCAAAAGAAATATTAACAGTTCAACTTATTAAGTAGTTATGGCCAAACAACAAGTATTTAAGTCCTGACAATTTAGTTTCCATTTGAAAAAAAAAAATAGACATATATAAAAAGAAAAATATTTGTATTTCTACCTACCCCACTCATACCCCAACATGAGCTTTAGAAAGAGGTATTTAGGGTTCATTCACTCTGGGGTGCCATTCTGAAAACATGCTATACATCCTAGCACCAATGCATACATGTAAGTCCTTCCTCATTCTTGGCAAAGAAAGGAGTAACTAAGAGGTGTTGAGTTTGATTTCTACCCTTCTCTAGATAACCTGTACCACCATAAAGTTTCTTATCTACTTAAGTTGTATATACTAAACATAATTAACATTTCTTACTGACAGAGTAAAGTACTATCAGAATCAAACAGTACACCCTAATAACAGTAATGCCTTAGATCTGTGAAATCTAATTCGTAGCCAATGGCCACCTGGGGCTATTTAATCTAAACTAATTAAAATTTAATAAAATTAAAAATTGCTTTTCTCAGTTGTACTAGCCTCATTTCAATAGCTCAATAGCCACATGTAGCTGGCATCTACCATTTATACAGCATAAATTAGAGAATATTTTCATCACTGCAGAAAGTTTACTAGATAACACTATCCTAGAGGCCACTAAAACATAGAATATTATTTATCCTTATACTAACAATGCCCTAAATGTTGTATTTTTGTTTTTCTATTCGTTACTGAGATTTTTCTGTCTTCTCCCTCATAACACTTGGTCAGTTGTGTACCACATGCACAAAGTGCTTCCAGTTGCTGAAACCTGATGAAATAATTAACCAAACAGAACAAAAGCATATCCAAAGTAGATTCTAGAAAAAGTCCCCAAGATCTAAAATTTCATCATGACAATTTTGATTTTTCAGAATCCTCTTTTCCTCTTCCTAATTCTAAAAGCTGTTCAAGTTAAGCTAAACTAATTGCTAATTACAGTATCACCACTCTTCATTATTTATGGATTTCATATTTGTGAATTCACCTACTCACTAAAATTTATTTTTATCACCCAACTCAATACCAACAGCACTCTCATAGTCATTCTGGATACACACAGAAGAGCAAAAAATTTCAGTCTCCTGATGCATGTTCTCCCAAATGAGGTCAAACAAGGGACACTGTACCTTCTTGTTTTAGGTTTCATAATATAAATAAGTGTCCTTTTCATGATTTATGCAATGCCACATTTTTATATTTTTGTGCTTTCTGTTAGTGATTTCCCTATCTAAATTGGTCCCCAAGAATAGTGCTGACATGCTATGTAGTGTTTCTAAAAACAAGAAGACTGTGATGGGCCTTACAGAGAAAATGTGTTAAATAAGCTTCATTCAGGCATGAGTATAATGCTGTTGGATATGAGTTCAATGCTAATGAATAAATAATATGTATAAAATAAAGTGTCTTTAAACAGAAACAAACATGAAGTAAGGTTATGTATTGAGTGGCTGATGAAAACGTGACCAGAAGCTCACAGGAACTAACTCTGTGAGTTACTATGAAAAATCCACCAGACTGGCAAAATCTAAAAATCAGCCATAGAAAGATGGGGAGAATACAATGCATAGGTACTTTTATACACTGCCAGTGAGAATATAAATTATACAGCCATTTTGTAAAACAGTTTTACATTGCCTAATAAAAGTTGAACATAGTCCCTGGCCAGATAGCTCAGTTGGTTTGGGCATTGTCCTGATACAGCAATGTTGCAGATTTGATCCCAGTCAGGGCACAGACAAGAAGCAAACAATGAATGCATAGAAGTGGAAAAACAAATCGATGTCTCTCTCTCTCTCTGTTAAATCAATTAAAAAAAAATGTTGCACAGCCCTGACTGGTTTGGCTCAGTGGATAGAGCATCTGCCCGCAGACTGAAAGGTCCTGGGTTCGATTCCAGTCAGGGGCACATGCCCGGGTTGTGTGCTCGATCCCCAGTGGGAGATGTGCAGGAAGCAGCCGATCAATGATTCTCTCTCATCACTGGTGTTTCTATCTATCTCTCTCTCTTCCTCTCCATTCCTCTCTGAAATCAATAAAAATATATTTTAAAAAAGTTGTACATACATATTCCCTATGATCCAGCAATTCTACTTCAAAGAAATTCTTCAAAGCTTAAATCATAGGATATTTATAAACATACACATATATATAATAGAACTGTACAAAAGTGTTTAACACAATATGAAATAATAGTTATTGGAATGGAATTAGAGGACGGACAATAGATGGGGCTCACAGGAGGCTTCAAATGGCTGTGGTCAATTTTCATTTCTAAAGACGGTTGATGAGTAAATGGCTATGTGTTTTATTATTTTTTATATTGTACTAGAGGCCCGTTGCACAGATTCGTGCAATAGGCCTTCCCTTCCCCTGGCTGCCGGCACCAGTTTTCCTTTAGCACCCGGGACCCAGGCCCTGCTCCAGCCAGAGCCTTCAGTCTTTGCTGCTCCGGTCAAAGCCTTCAGTCTTCACTCCCCGGCTTTGTGCCTACGTATGCAAATTAACCAACATCTTTGTTGGGTTAATTTGCATACTCTACTGATTGGCTGGTGAGTGTAGCAGAAGGATGGTCAATTTACATGTTTGTCTATTATTAGGTAAGATATAAAAGCTGTGTCTATTCTTTGGACACAAAAGAATGGTGTTTAAATGTTTTTTTGCAATGAAACATTTAAACACCAGGTAATTCAAAAGGTATGCAAATAGTAAAAAAAAAATACAAAACATAAAAGAAAAATAAGTACAGAGATTAGTTAAGAAAAAATAAGTACAGAGATTAGTTTCCAAGAATTATAGTAGAATGAAAAAAGAATAAGTTTTATTTATTCATGTTTTTCCTATGAGAACATTAATTCTTCCTCAAAGATATGGACATAATGTGTTAACAATGAAAGTGTATAACAAAAAGAATACTTACCTTTAAATCCAGATGTCTAGACACCACTTATCAAGGAAAAAATTTAGCTCATGGTCCTGATGTCATCTAAATATGCTACTTCAGTAAAATAACAAACTATATTAAGTTTATTTTCCCCTAAAGGTAGTCATTGAGTCACTGAGTCAAAGTTCATCTTACTAACATTTTCTTAAACATACACAGAATGACTTGAGTTTCATTGCAGAAGTCCCAACCTCTGCTCAGATCAGTACTCCAATCAGTTTTACTGCTCAGAACAGTAACAGCACCATAATCAGTTCTTTTTATTTATTTTTATTATATACATACACACACACACACACAAATTACTGATTTCAGAAAGGAAGGAAAAGAGAGAGATAAAAACATCAATGATGAGAGGGAATCACTGATCAGCTGCCTCCTGCCTACTGGGGATCAAGCCTACAACCCGGGCACGTGCCCTGACAGGGAATGAACTGTGACCTCCTGGTTCATAGGTCGATGCTCAACAACTGAGCCACATGGGCAGGGCTTAACCAGTTCTTTTTAGTTAATATTTCCCTCAAAAGAATAAAGAAACTTAGTTTTGTATCATTAGTAATCCAGAAAAAATATAAATTAGATTTTAAATGTTTCAGTAGACAGAAGTAAAAAGTTTATGTTTCATCAAATCCCACACTGTATTTACCTATGAAATAAAAATCTTTCCAAAATTTAAACAAGCAAAAAAAGAGGAAATAAAAATTTACCTCATAAGTTCAAATATTGAATAAACTATTAATGAAATCCATATAAATATCAATCAATTATCTATTTAAATGTTTATTTCTAAATGGTATTTGAAACTACACATAATCTTACCTGGGGAGGATAGTTGCTCTCTGAAGACCACCTTGAAGATTGGTCATTTGGTTTATCCACTAAAATATTCCTGAAATAAAGAAAATTATAAAAATTAATTAAAAGAATAAGTGAACATAAAATATGCAGAGATGAATAATCTAGATCAGTGATGGCGAACCTATGACACGTGTGTCAGAGGTGACACGCAAACTCTTTTTTGGTTGATTTTTCTTTGTTAAATGGAATTTAAATATATAAAATAAATATCAAAAATATAAATCTTTGTTTTACTATGGTTGCAAATATCAAAAAATTTCTATATGTGACACGGCACCAGAATTAAGTTAGGGTTTTTCAAAATGCTGACAAACCGAGCTCAAAAGGTTCGCCATCACTGTACTAGATGCTAAAATTATTATCAAGTTATATAATGTCTGGAACTTTAAAAAGAGGAGAAAATAAAATAGAAACAGAAAACATCTAGTATGTATAATATTCTAAAATATGATAAAGATAGCATTTCAAAATATTGAGAAAACCAAGAAAAACATAGTTCTATTTCATACCAAGTGACACTTAATGTATTTAATGTGCAGATGTATTTAGGAATTTAAGGTAAAAACAAAGCAGTAAAATACCTAATAATAAATAAAATACCACATACATATTATATACAATTATATTGTATTATTACATATTATATAATTGTAATCAATCTATGGATCAAGGAAGTCTTTTAGCCCATCATCAAAAGCATAACTGTAGCCCTAACTGGTTTGGCTCAGTGGATAGAGCGCCAGCCTGCAGACTCAAGGGTCCCAGGTTCGATTCCGGTCAAGAGCATGTACCTTGGTTGCAGGCACGTCCCCTGTAGGGGGTGTGCAGGAGGTAGCTGATCAATGTTTTTCTCTCATCGATGTTTCTAACTCTCTATCCCTCTCCCTTCCTCTCTGTAAAAAAATCAATAAAATATATATTTTTTAAAAAAGCAGAACTGTAGGGGAAAAAAGAAATTGATATAAATAACTTTGGAAAATGGTGCCTTCACTGGAAACTAAAGATAAATGGAACCATACAGAAAAACTGTACTTTATTTGGTAAACTTGTCTTTCACAGGAACATGGGTTAATCCTGAAATACTTTATATGTACCGTATTTGCCGGCGTATAAGACGATTTTTTGGCCCTGAAAAATATGCCTCCAAGTGGGGGGTCGTCTTATACGCCAGGTACACTTCAGATAGAATGCCCATAGTGCTTGCCCCGTGCCATAGTGGCCTCCCGATGCCCGCCCACTTCATTCCACATACCGTTCAGGCATAAGCAGCGCTGCTGGGTGTATGCTCGGCTGTTATGCGATTTTGCTGTTATGCGATTTTACCACACTCGCAAAATCGCACACAGCCGACCATACACCCAGTATGATAGCACAAAATCGCGAATCGCGATACCATACTGGGTGTATGGTTGGCTGTGTGCGATTTTGCGAGTGTGGTAAATTCGGGTTACCGTATATTTCTTTACATATGCATTGAAGATTCGTGATTTTGCGCTATCATGATGCCTCTTAGAATGTTGAAGAGCTCGCACTTGCGCACTAGTGAGGTCCCAGGGAGATGCTGATGCAAGGGTGGACCAGACTGCTATAGTGACAGGGCGGGCAAACAGGGAGCAGGGACCAATCAAATCAGGCTTTGTATACAGCCAACAGCCAACCACAATACTGCCCCATTGTACAGTACAGCATAGAAAACGTCGACCAGTCAAACCCCTATCATCCCTATCATGGCACCAAGATGTCGTTGATGAACTTTTAATATCAGATGATGAAGAGGAGTTTGAAGGCTTTTAAGGTGAAACTGTCACGCCAGCAAACTTGCTACGAGTATATAACAAACTCTGTATTTTGAGTGGAAATGTTAGGGGGTCGTCTTATACGCCCAGTCGTCTTATACGCCGGCAAATACGGTATATTCAGGTTGAACAAATAAATAAACAGATCGTATATGATAGGAGCTAAGCTTCTCACACTGGAGTGGTGACAGAAAAACAAAGGGGTGGAAGGTTAGAAAGAACCAGTGGTATTGAATTAGAATCAAAGATATCAGTGTGAACTCATGTTTAGTTTAATATAAATAGGTTCATAAGTAATAATAGATATGTGTGTGTACACACACTAATCCTACTTCTGTTCACTAAGAGGGACTAGAAGCAGTGACACTTCAATGGCAATGAGCACACCCAGCACCCATATCTTGGTTTCTACATACCACAGTCCAATAAAATAAATAGGGATTGTAGGGCAAGTGGCTGATTCTACAGTCAGGGCAGGGAATTCAGAAGATTAAAGCCCAGAACATCATGTAATATTATCAACAACAACAAGAAAATAATTGGGGCATGCAAAAGGCGCAGAGAAATCAACATGAAAGAAGGATAAATGGTCAAAGCTGAAATAGCATAAATAACAAAATAAATAATTTTGGTTGATTTTTCTTTGTTAAATGGCATTTAAATATATAAAATAAATAACAAAAATATAAATCTTTGTTTTACTATGGTTGCAAATATCAACCATTTTAGGACCAGTAGTCCCAAAAACTCTAAATATAATGAAAAGCAAGGAAGACTGAAAAACTGTCACAGACCAGAGAAGAATAAGGAAACATGAAAACTAAAAGTAGTTGACCCTTGATTGTGTCTACTGGGATGAGGATGTTTTTCAATAAGTGCAATACTATAACAGTATTTTTCTCTTTCTTATGATTTTCTTAACATATTTTCTCTAACTTGCTTTATTGAAAGAACACATTACATAAAACAAAGAATATATAAAATATGTATTAATCAACTGTTTATGTTCTTGGTAACTTGGGGGGGGGGGCATCAGAAGTTACATGCAGATTTTTTACAACGAGGGGTCAACACCCCTAACCAGCATGTTGTTCAAGGGTCAATGGTATCTTGGATGGGATCCTAAATCAGAAAGTGGACATTAGTGGGAAACTAGTGAAATGCAAATAAAATGTGGATTTTAGGTAATACTAATGCATCAATCAATGTTGGTACCTTAGTTGTGACAAATGTACCATCTGTATCTATATATATAAAAGCCTAAGCACCTGGCTGACAGTACAACCATCCAACCAGTGGATGATACACACTGACCACCAGCAGGCAGATGCTCAATTGCAGGAGCGGAAACCACAGGCATGGAAACATGGAACAGACCGATGAATCTCAGAGGGAAGGGGAGGGAGGGCGGGAAGAGATTAACCGAAGATCTTATATGCATACTAGAGGCCCGGTGCACGGATTCATGTACCTGTGGGGTCCCTCGGCCTGGCCTACGTCCTCTCACAATCCGGGATCCCGTGGGGATGTCGGAGAGCTGGTTTCAGCCCAATACTCGCAGGCCAGGCCAAGGGACCCCGCAATGGGCCTCTAGTCCTATATAATAAAAGACTAATATGAAAATCAACGAATCGTGGAACAACCGGTTGCTATGACGTGCACTGACCACCAGGGGGCAGATGCTCAACACAAGAGCTGCCCCCTGGTGGTCAGTGCGAAGCGCCGCTCAGCCAGAAACCCTGAGCCAGGCTCAAAACTGGCAAGCAGTGGCAGTGGCGGAAGCTTCTCCCACCTCCGCGGCAGTGCTAAGGATGTCTGACTGCTGGCTTAGGCCCGCTCCCCACGGAGAGTGGGCCTAAACCATCAGTCAAACATCCCCCAAGGGCTCCCAGACTGCGACAGGGTGCAGGCCAGGCTGTGGGATCCCCCCACGAGTGCACATATTTCGTGCACCAGGCCTCTAGTCCTAATATATAAAAAGCCAGGGGCTGTCACAACTGAAACAACTGGACAGATGACTGAACATCTGGCTGCGTGGGGCAGCTAGGCTGGCAGGGGGCGGGGGGTGGGCGGGGACAGTTGGGGGCGACCAGGCTGGCATGGGGGGCCTAAACCGGCAGTCAGACATCCTCCGAGGGGGTCCCAGATTGGAGAGAGTGCAGGCTGGGCTGAGTGGACCCCACTATGCACAAATTTTGGGCACCGGGCCTCCAGTAGTAGTATAAGATTTTAGCAAAGGGACAAACTAGGTGAGTGGCGTATGGGAACCCTGTACTGCCTTTGCTAACTAGTATAGTAAGTCCTCCCTTAACACTGTCAATAGGTTCCATGACTTCAAGTGAAATAATATATAACGAACCCAATTTTACCATAAGTTTAATTGATATAACAAAAATTTCCTCAGCATTTCATCAATCTAATAAGGAAACAAGGTTATTTGAGGACCTGCTATAAATGTAAATTCATTCTCAAATAAAAAGTATACTTTCAAAAAGCTAGATCTCTACCTGGCATACAGAGGGTACTTAATAAATATCAAATAGATGAGTAAATAAAAATTTTTAAAAGCAGAACTATACAGAAAATTACTTTTACATACAAATCTCACAAAGGTAAAAATAAATACATGAAATGAGCTCAAACAAAATTAAAAGACAACCAACCAACTAGAAAAATAAAAGCAATGTAAAACACAAAAAGCTAACTTAAAACTTCAGAATCCTATCTAATAAAAGAGAAACATGGTAATTAGCCGTACGTCCGCTACCCTTCCCATTGGCTACTCAGGGCGATATGCAAATTAACTGCCAGCCAAGATGGCAGGCGGCAGCCAGGCTACTGACACGAACAGGAGGCTTGCTTGCTTCAGTGACGGAGGACTCCAACGTTCCCCGCCTGCGGCTGCTAGGCTCTGAGCTGCTAAGAAACATTGTTACAAATATAGACGCTAAACAAAACCCAAGAAACCTGCTTTCAGTCAGCCGGGATCTCAGAGCTGTAGTCGCAACAAAGTTTCAAATACAGAAGGTAAACAAAGCAGAAACCTGCTTTCAGCAGTGGAGGTCTGAGCTAATGCTGGCTCTCAGCTCCAGTGACAGCCATAGAAGGTAAATAAATCCCAAAATAAAAAAAAAAAGGAAAAAAGGAGAGGTTGGG